CTGGTGATGAATTTCTTTGCTTGTGCAGAAAGTATAATAATTATAGCATAATTTTACTTAGGTTATAGCTGTAACTATGCAACTCCCCCCCCCCTTGTTAGTACCTTTCTGATAAAAGTGCCCTAGATATGGGTACAAAGCAAAGCTACCTTCAGAGTTTCTGTTAAATGCATTACATAAGTTCTTTGTGTCTCACCAAGTTCACAATTGTGAAATTTTGGATAAAATCACCTTATTTAAATCCTGCAAACAGCCCATAAGTATTTGGATTTATTTGGGAATCTGTAGGCTGTTCTGTCTCCCCAGCCATTGGCACGAATTAGCAGTTACCAATAAATCCCATTCGTTGCCTGTGCAGTGGCGTTAACAGAGAAACCACTCTTTCTTTCTTGCACAAACAAAGTTCAGAACGCGCCTGGCCTTTCTTTTTCCCTCCTAACCTCCTCTGGTACACACACCCCTCTTAAACCTCTGAGCAGAGCTCCCGCCTGAGAACTTCCTGTTTGTTTAACTTTTGCAAGAACCTCCAGGTTCTCCACTTCTTGTTGTCTGATAAAAAGGAAATGTGTGTGTTGGGGGGTGTCTTATTTAACAGAGCTCTCCATAGCACTTATTTGCTGATAATTCGAAAGTCCAAAGTAGTGTAAAATATTTCTCTTACCTTTCTGGTAACCTGCATCAGGTATTAATTTTCATATTTTAAAGCAGGTTGCTAAGCTCGCCACTTTTCAAATGTAGCATTATAATGAACTCATCCCTTTAGGGTGTAGCTCCTGGACTGTCCTTTCACTTAGGAAAATGCTTTCTTCAAAGACTAGTGATGCTTCGAGCAGACGATTTAACCGTCCTGGGGGGTTGTACTTATTATTCTGTGGTTTAGCCCTAGTTAGGTAGACATCATCTCTGATACGCCCTTCCACAAAGTGCTTCTTAATTATCATTACAGCAATACCAATTGATAACTTAAAACTGCATACTGGAATTGTTTTCTCAAAATACATTATTGAAGGTCATTTATTATTCAGATACAATTGACATATAACATTAGTTTCAGGTATACAACATGGTTCTATATATGTATATATTGTAAAATAGTCACCACAGTAAGTATTGGGTTGTCGGAAAAGTCATGACGCATTTTTGCAGTGAAAAACAGAGAAAAAATATGTCATGACTTTTCCGACAACCCAATAGTTAACACCAATCACCAAATACAGTTACAAATTTTTTTTCTTGTGATGAGAACTTTTGTTAAGATTTGCTCTTAATAACTTTCAAATATGCAATACAGGATTAACCATAGTCACCAAGCTGTACATTATATCCTCAGGACTTATTCAGTTTATAACTGAAATACCTTTGACCCCCATCACCCATTTTCTTCTACACTTCCACCCTCTTCCCTTTCCCTACAACCAGCAATCTGTTCTCTGTATGAGTTTGGGTTTTATTTTATTTTATTTTTATTGTATTTTTTTTAAGATTTTACATATAAGAGAAGTTATATGGTATTTGTCTTTCTCTGTCTGATTTATTTCACTTAGCATAATGCCTTTAAGATCCACCCATGTTGTCCCAAATGGCAGGATTTCCTTCTTTTTTATGGTTGAATAATATTTCATTGTGTGTGTGTATATATGCATACACATGTATATATGTATGTATATATCATATATATATCATATCTTTATTCATCCATCAATGGATACTTAGGCTGTTTTCATATCTTCGCTCTTGTAAATAATACTACATTAAACATGGGGATACAGATATCTTTTTGAGTTAGTGTTTTCATTTCCTTTGGCTAAACACCTAGAAGTGGAATAGCTGGGTCATATGGTAATTCTATTTTTAATTTTTTGAGGATCCTTCATACTGTTTTCTGTAGTGGCTGCACCAATTTACATCCCCACCAACAATGCACAAGGGTTCCCTTTTTTTCTGCATTCTTACCAACACTAGTTATTCTCTTTTCTTTTTAATAGCCATTCTTAACAAGTGTGAGGTGATAATTCATTGTGGTTTTTATTTTTATTTTTTTGATCATTAGTGATGTTGAGCACCTTTTCATGTACCTGTTGGTCATCTGTATGTCTTCTTTGGAAAAATGTTTATTTATATCCTCTGTCCATTTTAAAAATCAGGTTATTTATCTTTTTGCTTTTGAATTGTATGAGTTCTTTTCTATTTTGGATATTAACCTCTTATCAGATACATGATTTGCAAATATCTTCTTTCATTCAGTAGATTGCCTTTTCATTATATACGAGTATAATATGTCATCTGTAACTAGTGATATTGATAGGTTTTTACATCTATCTTTCTGATTGCGATACCTTTTATTTCTTTTTCTTGCCTAATTGTTCTGACTAGGACTTCCAGTATTATGCTGAATAAAAGTGGAGAGAGTTAGGTATCCTTGTCTTATTCCTTAATAATAGAGGAAGAGCTTTTAGCTTTTTACTGGTGGGTATGATGTTTGCCGTGGACTTGTCATATAAGGCCTATATTATGTTGAGGTACATTCCCTCTATACCCACTTTGTTGAGAGTTTTTATTATTAATGGATGTTGAATTTTGTCAGATGCTTTTTCTGCATGTATTAAAATGATTATATGATTTTNCCCCGCCGGCCCGCTCCATGCCTCTCCGTTGCGGAAGTGTAGCGGGGGGAGGCGGCAGCACCCAGCGCGGGAGGCCCGGGCTCGGCCCCCTGCAGCTCTAGGCTCTGGGAGCCGCGCGGCGCGTCCCAGCGGCCCGGCTGCTCGTGCGCCCGCCGCCCGCCGCCCGCCGCAGCCTGCATGCCCCGCGCCGCGCCTCGCCGGGCCCCGGTCTCCGCCTCCTCCACGCACCGTCGCTGCCGGGCGCCAGAGTAATATGCTCACTCGAGTGAAATCTGCCGTGGCCAATTTCATGGGCGGCATCATGGCTGGCAGCTCAGGCTCCGAGCACGGCGGCGGCGGCGGCAGCGGCTCGGACCTGCCCCTGCGTTTCCCCTACGGGCGACCGGAGTTCCTGGGGCTGTCTCAGGACGAGGTGGAATGCAGCGCCGACCACATCGCCCGCCCCATCCTCATCCTCAAGGAGACCCGGCGGCTGCCCTGGGCCACTGGCTACGCAGAGTGAGTGCAGCGACACCGGCTCCTCGCGGCCCTTCCCCGCGCGGTTCCAGCCCTCCTCTCGCCTTGTTCCTCGGCCCCAGGGCTCTCTGGTTGCCGGCGTCCAGGCCTCGGCGGGTACCTCTTAACTTGCACTGGCCGTTTCTGTCTGCTCCCGCTCCCCCTACCCCCAAGCCCAAGGACGCGGCGTCTCCAGCCCGGGTATTTGGTGGTAAATGAGTGGGTGCAGCGCTGGGCCGTGGGAATGCTAAGGTTGGACGGGTCTGTGATTCCGAGGGTTATGACACTTGGAAGAAAGCGCGCAGAACAGTTTTTTGCTGAAGTTTGAAACACAGCAGGGACATCTAGCATCTGTGCACCCCTCCCCCACCCCTCAATCTTTGTGCTTCTGCCTGAAGTTTGTGGGGGACAGCCTGGAGGAGCCGTCCCTGCGCCGGGGAAGGGGGGGGCGGATGTCTGAGCCCTGGGGCTGGCCGCGTTGGCTTGCGTGGTTGCACACTTCAGAAGGTCTCAGTTTCTCCCACTTCAGCCTGAGAGCTCATTCGCTTCTCCTTTAGCAGGTAGTAAAACTCCGCGCGTTCGTTAAATGCCAATACTGTTTCCCCCCGTCTTTGGGCAGGGGTAAACTTATTTCAGGTGTTTAATGATTGCATTTTGGTAATCGGCTTTGGCGATTAAGTGAGCGTTTGAGTGATTTACTATTTCAAGAACAGATTGAGTTGGGTTGACGACCTGGTGTGGAACTGGGAAAGGAGGGAGGGTTTTAATGGCCTCTGCCCCACGCTACGGCTACTCCTCCATTGACTATTAATGACCGTCTTATGAATGGTAGGATAAGTAATGTTTCTGCACCTATTCAGCGTTATGAAACTGGGAAACGCGGAAGGTGGAATTTAGAAGATCGGAGTTCCGGGGTTAACAGTGACCTGGTGGGTGCAAAAGTGCACGTAAAGCCCAGATGCCTAGCACACCTGCCCCTTTTCCTTTAACTCAGTCCGCTCTGTAATCTTGGCCCTTCACTACCCCTGCACAGCCTTGCCCGCTGATTGGTTCATCTGGTAACCAATCAGCTCTCCCGACGCCTGGGCGCGTTGATGCTGACCCTGTTCTGGTGGCCCGGATACCCCAGGGCAGGCATGGTTTTTGACGCTCCGGGTTCCGGTGCGAGAGAGATGACCTGGAAGATGCTCTGCCTAGAATATCGAATTCTCTTTGCCTTCCCCTTTCCTCATATAACAGTTTCTCTACGGGCTGAAAGAGAAAATGTGTATAAATAGGGTAGATGCCTGGAGTGTGAAAAAGATGAAGAAACAAGTGAAAGTGATGGGTACTAAAACAATAAAAATGAACACATAATAAAGGATAAGCATGGTAGAGAACTTTGGGTGTGTGGGGAAGTACAAAATAGCTTTGTAACTTCCAGGAGAAAACAAAAACAAAAATAAACACCTGTGTAAGGAAAGACTTACAGGAGGGAAAATTGCCTGCCAAAACATACCACTGTTTCTTGACTGAAATAAGAAAAAATTGTGTACAAGCCCATTCGGACCCTTTGCAAGATAAAAAGCAACTTGGAGGCATACTCCATCCTGCGATTGTGTGGATGGGGCCCTGTGCCTGCCGAAAACCTGAATATGTAGGACCTGGTTGTCCCTTGAGTGGTTTTTCAGGGCAAGGGCACCTGTCTGAGCATCAGAAAGACAGGCAAACGGTGAGAAACTTATAACAGGTAGGAAGGAAGATGTTAAAGTATGGAATGTGGAAGCTACTTGGATGCAATAAAAGGAGTGCCTCAGATAAGCAGGAAGGAAAGGAAAGGGGAAAAAAGCACCAGTTTCAGAGTGTTTGGATCATGATATGCCAAGGGCTGTAAAAAATATAAGCTTATCTGAAATGAGACATGTAGGAGATAGTACTTACAAGGCTCTACCTTCTAACTGGGCCTCAGTTTCCTCATCTCTAGGAAGCTCATCTTTTCCTAGACCAGGACATGAAAGATGTTCAACTTGAAGATTAGAGGGACCACTGTAAAATGTCTAATTTTTAAAAGTAATACATACTTGTTAATTCAAGCAAAGACCCGTATACAAATATAAGCTCCTCCCCTTAGCCCCTCACTCCCTAAGGGTAATGACAGTTTAGTGTTTGAGTGGTGTGTGTGCCTTTCTAGACTTGGATGCGCCTATAAATATGTATCACGCCTTTCTTATTTCTTCCCCAAACATACTCGTACAAAGCATGTTATTCTGTAATGTTTGCACAAAATACGGTGTTATGGACTTTACTCCAAGTCAATACATATAGAATGATCTTATTTTAAAACAATGTATGCATATTACATAATAATAGCTAATAACATAGTGCATACTGTTTAATGCTTACACTGTTTCCAAGATTGTATCATAATCATTTAATTCTCACAACAACCCTATAAGGCAGGCAGGCACTAACATTTGCATAATATAAATGAACATACAGAGGTACGGAATGCTTAAGCAACTTGCCCAGAGTCACACTACCTGTGCAGAGCCTGTATTTGAACCCAAGCAGCCTGACTCTGGAGCCCTCAACAACAAACTGCCTTCTTTCAGGGGATGAAATGATGGCGCACCCATCTGTACCCACGGTTAATCACTAGTGTTGGCTTGCCACCTCTCTGTGTCAGAGGTACTGTACCACTTCCTCAAACCTTGAACTATATATAGTTTATCTTCCTACAAAAATACATCTTGAATGATCAAAATGGCTGAAATAGGGAAGGAGGGAGAAAGACAAGTAGGAACTGTGGCTATGGTCAGAGGCTGCAACCAGTCATACAGCCCTGTGTTACAGGGTGTACTGGGAGGAGGAATTGTCTTTCTTTCTTCTAGAAGGTACTTGAGAAGAAGAGCATTAGTAGGAAGATTCTTGCTCAGGGAGAGGGGATAAGAGAGATGCCAGTGAGTCAAGGCCTGAGTCAGAAGTGGTTTGCTTACCTTTCTAGAAAGTGAGCTACTTTCTAAGATTTCCCAGGGAGGGAGAATTGGCATCATATGGTGAGTGAGTGAGGAATCCGAAGAGAGTTGAGCTCCAGTGTTGATGACCTTTTAGATGGTAGAAAAATTGAGAAGTGGTTTATTGTTTGCCATTTACTGTTAATCCCTTTCAAGAAGAGATACTCTATGGGTTATAGAGCTAGAAAATTAGCTTACACAATCCTAGTGAGACTTGGAGATCCAGAAACTGAAGACCCTCGTTATTGGCATTGGGCTGGGTGGAATTTCCCGGTTCCTCAAAAACTTTCCTATTGTGGCTGAGAAGCCGCTTGAGTAAGTAAGGGCTGTACAAGGTTGTAAAGCTCTGTAAAGCACTGCAGTTACAGATAACATCCACAGAGTTAAAAATCTTTCCAAAAACTTGCATTAACAAGTTTTATTTTTCATTTTCATTCTGCTCA